GTGTCTCGCACCCACTGTGAAATTTGGTGGAGGATCGGTGATGATCTGGGGGTACTTCAGCAAGGCTGGAATTGGGCAGATTTGTCTTTGTGAAGGACGCATGAATCAAGCCACGTACAAGGTTGTCCTGGAAGAAAACTTGCTTCCTTTTGCTCTGACATTGTTCCCCAACTCTGAGGATTGGTTTTTCCAGCAGGACAATGCGCCATGCCACACAGCCAGGTCAATCAAGGTGTGGATGGAGGACCACCAGATCAAGACCCTGTCATGGCCAGCCCAATTTCCAGACCTGAACCCCATTGAAAACTTCTGGAATGTGATCAAGAGGAAGATGGATGGTCACAAGCCATCAAACAAAGCCGAGCTGCTTGAATTTTTGCGACAGGAGTGGCATAAATTCACCCAACATCAATGTGAAAGACTGGTGGAGAGCATGCCAAGACGGATGAAAGCTGTGATTGAAAATCAGGGTTATTCCACCAAATATTGATTTCTGAACTCTTCCTAAGTTAAAACATTAGTATTGTGTTGTTTAAAAATTAACATGAGCTTATTTTCTTTGCATTATTCGAGGTCTGACAACACTACATATTTTTTGTTATTTTGACTAGTTGTCATTTTCTGCAAATAAATGCTCTAAATGACAATATTTGTATTTGGAATTTGGGAGAAATGTTGTCAGTAGTTTACAGAATAAAACAAAAATGTTATTTTTACCCAAACACATACCTATAAATAGTAAAACCAGAGAAATTGATAATTTTGCAGTGGTCTCTTAATTTTTTCCGCAGCTGTATATATATATAGATATATATATATATATATATATATATATATATATATATATATATATATATATATATATATTTAAATATACACACAGTATATATCGAATGCAAAGAAAATATGTATCCTCCCCATGAGCATCTTACTCAGATTAAAGCAGAGAGCAGGGAAATGGTCATGAAAGGATCTGATGACTTTCCTTTGACTAAAAGGTACATCTTTGAGTAACCTCAGGGACAAACAGTTAAGTGCCAAATTGAGAGGTTTAATACCTTGGTGACTTACATATGAGGATGATGCATTAAGCACTGCATTAACCTGATGCTGTAATATTATGATTCCAATCAGCATTCCTAGGCGCACCTCTCTTAATGGAGTCTTGATACTTGGGAAGGAAGGATACATTGTTAAACCTGTTGAGAATGGAAGCTAAATGAGAGATACTGTAAATGGGACAAGGTGTCTCTGAGGACCTGCTTTGATCTCAGCAAATATGTGATATAAATACTTTCAGAAATTAATTATGCATGCACACTGGGATCGCAAATTCCACTAATTCACTAGATTTGACTGTCCCCAACCCCCTCTCATTCTGGACCCAATTTACACATGATGCACATATATACAATTTGAGTCTTTCTTGCTCGTAAAAGCTATTACGACTGCAAATAATTATATACTTGAACAATTGCCATTTTATCAAATAACATACTGTATAACTTTTTGGAGGAGATATACAGTGAGGGGAAAAAAAAGTATTTGATCCCCTGCTGATTTTGTACGTTTGCCCACTGACAAAGAAATGATCAGTCTATAATTTTAATGGAAGGTTTATTTGAACAGTGAGAGACAGAATAACAACAAAAAAATCCAGAAAAATGCATGTCAAAAATGTTATAAATTGATTTGCATTTTAATGAGGGAGATAAGTATTTGACCCCCTCTCAGAAAGATTTCTGGCTCCCAGGTGTCTTTTATACAGGTAACGAGCTGAGATTAGGAGCAAACTCTTAAAGGGAGTGCTCCTAATCTCAGTTTGTTACCTGTATAAAAGACACCTGTCCACAGAAGCAATCAATCAGATTCCAAACTCTCCACCATGGCCAAGACCAAAGAGCTCTCCAAGGATGTCAGGGACAAGATTGTAGACCTACACAAGGCTGGAATGGGCTACAAGACCATCACCAAGCAGCTTGGTGAGAAGGTGACAACAGTTGGTGCGATTATTCGCAAATGGAAGAAACACAAAATAACTGTCAATCTCCCTCGGCCTGGGGCTCCATGTAAGATCTCACCTCGTGGAGTTGCAATGATCATGAGAACGGTGCGGAATCAGCCCAGAATTACACGGGAGGATCTTGTCAATGATCTCAAGGCAGCTGGGACCATAGTCACCAAGAAAACAATTGGTAACACACAACGCTGTGAAGGACTTAAATCCTGCAGTGCCCGCAAGGTCCCCCTGCTCAAGAAAGCACATATACATGCCCGTCTGAAGTTTGCCAATGAACATCTGAATGATTCAGAGGAGAACTGGGTGAAAGTGGTGGTCAGATGAGACCAAAATCGAGCTCTTTGGCATCAACTCAACTCGCCGTGTTTGGAGGAGGAATGCTGCCTATGACCCCAAGAACACCATCCCCACCGTCAAACACGGAGGTGGAAACATTATGCTTTGGGGGTGTTTTTCTGCTAAGCGGACAGGACAACTTCACCGCATCAAAGGGACGATGGACAGGGCCATGTACCGTCAAATCTTGGGTGAGAACCTCCTTCCCTCAGCCAGGATATTGAAAATGGGTTGTGGATGAGTATTCCAGCATGACAATGACCCAAAACACAAAGCCAAGGCAACAAAGGAGTGGCTCAAGAAGAAGCACATTAAGGTCCTGGAGTGGCCTAGCCAGTCTCCAGACCTTAATCCCATAAAAAATCTGTGGAGGGAGCTGATGTTCGAGTTGCCAAACGTCAGGCTCGAAACCTTAATGACTTGGAGAAGATTTGCAAAGAGGAGTGGGACAAAATCCCTCCAGAGATGTGTGCAAACCTGGTGGCCAACTACAAGAAACGTCTGACCTCTGTGATTGCCAACAAGGGTTTTGCCACCAAGTACTAAGTCATGTTTTGCAGAGGGGTCAAATACTTATTTCCCTCATTAAAATGCAAATCAATATATAACATTCTTGACATGCATTTTTCTGGATTTTTTTGTTGTTATTTTGTCTCTCACTGTTCAAATAAACCTTCCATTAAAACTATAGACTGATCATTTCTTTGTCAGTGGGCAAACATACAAAATCAGCAGGGGATCAAATACTTTTTCCCCTCACTGTGTATATATATATATATATATATATATATATATACAGTGCCCTCCACTATTATTGGCACCCCTGTTTAAGATGTGGTCGAGGACTTCCAAAAATTCTCATTTTTTTTTTAACAACATAGAACCCAAATGCAAAAAAAGAGAAAAATCCAACCTTTTATTTAAGTACATTACTTTGGTGGTAAAAAAAAAATCACACATTTAGAAAAAGAAAAACTTGAAATCATGTGTTCCACAATTATTGGCACCCCTAACAATTCAGCTGAAATTTTTAATTGATTTTTTAAAAAATATATTTTTATGTAGTTGCTAAAGTTGGTCAGGGTATCTAGGAACTTTTAATATGTAATTCATGACTTCCTGTTTCCCTGGGGTATAAATATGACGTGACACAGAGGCCTAATTCTCTTACCCATTTGTCAACATGGCAAAGACAAGAGAACACACCATTCAAGTAAGGCAGATTTGTGTCGACCTTCATAAGTCAGGCAATGGCTACAAGAAAATAGCCACTCGCCTTAACTTGCCCGTATCTACAGTCAGAGGAATCATTAAGAAGTTTAAAACAACTGGAACAGTGACAAACAAGGCTGGAAGAGGTCCCAAGTTTATCTTGCCACAACGCACAGTGAGGAGGATGGTAAGAGAAGTAAAAAAAAGTCCTAAGCTCACTGTCACAGAATTGCATCAAATAGTGGCATCTTGGGGTCACAAAGTCTCCAAAACAACCATCAGACGCTCTCTACATGCCAACAAGCTGTTTGGGAGGCATGCAAGGAAAAAGCCTTTTCTCACTAACACTCACAAACGTAAACGTCTGGAGTTTGCTAAGCGGCACTGTGCTTTGGTCAGATGAGACTAAGATTGAGCTTTTTGGCAACAAACACTCTAAGTGGGTCTGGCGTAAAACAAAAGATGAGTATGCCGAAAAGCACCTCATGCCCACCGTGAAGTATGGTGGAGGATCTGTGATGCTGTGGGCCTGTTTCTCTTCCAAAGGCCCTGGGAACCTTGTTAGGGTGCATGGCATTTTGAACGCTTTGAACTACCAGGACATTTTAAATAAAAACCTGATGGCCTCTGCCAGAAAGCTGAAGATGGGTCTTTCAGCAGGATAATGATCCAAAACATGTGGCAAAATCTACACAAAAATGGTTCAGCAGTCACAAACTCAAGGTCCTCCCATGGCCATCTCAGTCCCCAGACCTCAACCCAATCGAAAACCTGTGGGGCGAGCTAAAGAGGAGAGTGCATAAGAGAGGACCCAGGACACTGGATGATCTAGAAAGATTGTGCAAAGAAGAATGGTCAAAGATCCCTCTCTCTGTGTTCTCCAATCTTGTGAAATGTTATAAGAGGAGATTAAGTGCTGTCTTGTTGGCAAAAGGGGGTTGTACAAAGTATTAACATCAGGGGTGCCAATAATTGTGGGACACATGATTTCAAGTTTTTTTTTTTTCTAAATGTGTGATTTTTTTTTTACACCAAAGTAATGTACTTAAATAAAAGGTTGGATTTTTCTCTTTTTTTGCATTTGGGTTCTATGTTGTTTTAAAAAAAAGGATAATTTTTGGAAGTCCTCGACCACATCTTAAACAGGGGTGCCAATAATAGTGGAGGGCACTGTATATATATATATATATATATATATATATATATATATATATATATATATATATATATATATGTTTTGGATATACATAAAGAGACACTTGTGACAAAGAAGCCCAAACCCAACATACTTTTTATTTGGAAGAGTCCGATAAAACAGGCAATATGAAGAAATATACCATAAAGATTATTTTCAAAAGGCTTTCTTTTTCTTAAATTCAGAGGATGCCAAAAAGAGAATAGTGACAATATAGTCCTAGTAATTATAATAAGGTCACTGTAATCGAAGGTAGCTCTTGCAGAGTTCATGGTCCCTAATGTCCCCCCAGCCCCCGTTCTTCACGTGGGGCGCCACCCCCCCTGCCCCGTTAGCCGGAAGTCTCTTAGTAATCAGCAGGTTCTTGGGGAACAGCTGATGGCTGCTGCTCTGAAGGATGTTCTCTATCTTGGTCTTTTGGCTTGACGGCATACACACAGACTTCTTGTGGTGCATCCCGCAGTCCCCGGCGTGGAAGACCCGAGGCGCCTCGCTCACCATGACCTTCCAGTAGGAGGGCAGGCAGGTTACGGTCAGGTGCTGCAGGGACCAGTCCCAGTTGTAGTCGTCATAGGTGCAGAAGGCGTCGGTGCATTGGATAAGCTTCTGGTAGGTCTCCCTGCTCAGAGCCATGCCCATGTTGTGCTCGGTGGACTTCCAGGCTTTCACCTCCACCTTGTTGGCTTTACTTGCGTAACTAATGTGGCCGTAGCTCCCCAGAGACAGGATGTCACAGTCAGGGCAATTCTCCCTCTTCAGGATCGACATCAGCTTGAGGAGGTGGAGGAAGTCCGGGGAGAGGAAGTGGTCCTCCTCAATGAGAAGCACCAGACCCCGGTGGTCCTTCAGGGCCCGGATCCTGTCCCACACAAAGTGCAGCTTCCACCACCAGTGGTGCTTGGTCTGGGAGAACTTGGCCTCGCGGTAGTGACCGAACGAGTCGGGGTACTCTGCGTTGATGCAGTCCAGCTTTAAGGCGTCTATCTTGGAAATGTCTCTGGGGCAGTCCCTGGGGTCGTGGCCCGGGAACTCCTGGGGGTACAGCTGGATGCTGAAGGGAAAGAAGATCTGGAGGACCTGGCAGAAGTCCACCGAGGCCACCACCTGGTTGATCTCTGGGGACCAGAAGTCGTGGCTGAAGATGAGCAGGATGTTCTCCACGCCCCTGGCCTTCCTCAGACTCTCCACCAGCAGTCTCAGGTAGTCTGGTCTGTTGTGCACCTGGACCACCACCACCAGATCGTCCTTCTTCCTCGCTGCCCTGAACTTCTCCTCATGTCTCACTGTCTGGTCGAAGTTGAGCTGGAACACAATGCCACGGTAGACCAGGGTGGTGTTGTCCACCTCCGGTTTTACCTCCTTCCCCAGGTGCTTTTCGGGGTGGTTATTTGGGTGTGTCTCGTTGGCAGGTGCTACAGGTGCGATGGGTGGTACGATAGGTCTCCGGCTGACTGCAGGCGTGGCCTGCGGCTGTACCTGTACCTGGCTACTGCTGCTTCTCCTTGCCACCTCAGCCTCTTTCGGGACCACCACTCTACTGCTCTTCTTCAGCTTCACACTGGTCCAGAAGGCAAGGCCACACACCACCACCACCAGTGTCAGTATCACCACCTGGACATAAAATACATATCATATCCCATGCCCGGTTTTGGACTCATTGGCATCGTTATTTCTATTCTCTTTTTTGATTTAAAGATACAGTAAGATTATTTATTTGTATTTATTATGGATCCCCAAGTAAGAGTTCATATGAGTTTACATTAGTTAATAACTTATTTAATCATTCAATTAATCCAGTGGGTCCTGCTTCTTCAGCAGAACTAAATATGTCACAATAAATGACGTTTTATTGTCTATTACTGTTTTCAAATATATTTGTTTTGTTGGTGCCATTTAAAACATGCCCAGTACAGAAACATGCAGCACATACACATGACTTGGGACTCGTCGTGTATTGTACCTTCCTCTTGTAGACTCGGAATCTCATGATAGGCAGTCACCCCCTTTGGGAACAGAGAGAAGTTGATTGTAGAGAAACTGAAAAAGGCAGGTTTGCAAGTTCTAATGGCACTGCTGTGCTTGGGGGAGGCAGGCAGGCAGGCAGGCAGGCAGGCTTGGTAGAAAACGGCTTCAAATTGTGTTGGTTGCTAACGCTTGTTGCTTGCTGCTAGTGCACATTTTTGGAATGTAGACATGGGTCTTTGTGGAATGTAAGTGATGCCAGGTGAGAGTCCCATAAGGCATGTTGGTCTCTGACAGTCAGCAGGGTAGCGGTGTGCATGGAACCCACTGGAAGACAAAATAAGAGAAAATTATTAAAGCAATTGTACTATTTCTTATTGTCTGTACTAAGCATGGTTGATTTATTAAATGCAACATGCATACATACCATCAATAATAAAACAATTGCTGTTACGGAATCATAACTTGTTTTATGATAAGAGCTGATACAGTGCATTCTGAAAGTATTCAAACCCCTTGACTTTTTCCACATTTTGTTACGTTACAGCCTTATTCTAAAATTGATTAAATTGTTATTTTCCCTCATCAATCTACACACAATAGCCCATAATGACAAAGCAAAAACAGGTTTTTAAACATTTTTGCAAATGTATTAAAAATAGAAAAATGAAATATCACATTTACATACGTATACTTTATTGAAGCACTTTGGCAGCGATTACAGCCTTGAGTCTTCTTGGGTATGACGCTACAAGCTTGGCACACCTGTTTCTCCCATTCTTCTCTGCAGATCCTCGCAAGCTCTGTCAACTTGGATGGGGCGCGTCACTGCACTACTATTTTCAGGTCCCTCCAGAGATGTTTGATCGGGTTCAAGTCCGGGCTCTGGCTGGGCTACTCAAGGACATTCAGACTTGTCCCGAAGCCACTCCTGCGTTGTCTTGGCTGTGTGCTTAGGGTCGTTGTCCTGTTGGAAGGTGAACCTTCGCCCCAGTCTGAGGTCCTGAGCGCACTGGAGCATGTTTTCATCAAGGATTTCTCTGTACTTTGCTCCGTTCATTTTTCCCTCGATCCTGACTAGCAGTGAAAAACATCCCCACAGCATGATGCTGCCACCACGTTTCACCGTAGGGATGGTGCCACGTTTCCTCCAGACGTGACGCTTGGCATTCAGGCCAAAGATTTAAATCTTGGTTTCATCAGACCAGAGAATCTTGTTTCTCATGGTCTGAGAGTCCTTTAGGTGCCTTTGACAAACTCCAAGCAGGCTGTCATGTGCCTTTTACTGAGGAGTGGCGTCCGTCTGGCCAGTCTACCATAAAGGCCTGATTGGTGGAGTGGTGCAGAGATGGGTGTCCATCTGGAAGGTTCTCCCATCTCCACAGAGGAACTCTGCAGCTCTGTCAGAGAGACCATCGGGTTCTTGGTCACCTCCCTGAACAAGGCCCTTCTCCCCAGATTGCTCAGTTTGGCCAGGCGGCCAGCTCTAGGAAGAGCCTTGGTGGTTCCAAACTCCTTGCATTTAAGAATCAAATCGAATGATGGACTCCAATCAAGTTGGAGAAACATCTCAAGGATGATCAATGGAAACAGGATGCACCGGAGCTCAATTTCAAGTCTCATAGCAAAGGGTCTGAATACTTATGTAAATAAGGTATTTCTAGTTTTTTTTTAATATATATATATATTACACTAACGGTCAAAAGTTTTAGAACACCTACTCATTCAAGGGTTTTTCTTTATTTTTACTATTTTCTACATTGTAACTACATAAAAACTATGAAATAACACATTTGGAATCATGTAGTAACCAAAATAGTGTTAAACAAATCAAAATATATTTTATATTTGAGATTCTTCAAATAGCCACCCATTGCCTTGATGACAGCTTAGCACACTCTCGGCATTCTCTCAATCAGCTTCACCTGGAATGCTTTTCCAACAGTCTTGAAGGAGTTCCCACATATGCTGAGCACTTGTTGGCTGCTTTTCCTTCACTCTGACATCCGACTCATCCCAAACCATCTCAATTGGGTTGAGGTCGGGGGATTGTGGAGGCCAGGTCATCTGATGCAGCACTCCATCACTCTCCTTCTTGGTCAAATAGCCCTTACACAGCCTGGAAGTGTGTTGGGTCATTGTCCTTTTGAAAAAAAAATGATAGTCCCACTAAGCCCAAACCAGATGGGATAGCGTATTGCTGCAGAATGCTGTGGTAGCCATGCTGTTTAAGTGTGCCTTGAATTCTAAATAAATCACAGACAGTGTCACCAGCAAAGCACACCCACACCATAACACCTCCTCCATGCTTTACGGTGGGAAATACACATGCAGAGATAATCTGTTCACCCACACCGCGTCTCACAAAGACACGGCGATTGGAACCAAAAATCTCAAATTTCGACTCCAGACCAAAGGACACATTTCCACCAGTTTTTAATGTCCATAGTAGTGGTTTCTTTGCAGGAATTTGACCATGAAGGCCTGATTCACACAGTCTACTCTGAACAGTTGATGTTGAGATGTGTCTGTGAATAATTTATTTGGGCTGCAATTTCTGAGGCTGGTAACTCTAATGAACTTATCCTCTGCAGCAGAGGTAACTCTGGGTCTTCCATTCCTGTGGCAGTCCTCATGAGAGCCAGTTTCATCATAGAGCTTGATGGTTTTTTACCAAATAGGGCTATCTTCTGTATACCCCCCCTATCTTGTCACAACACAACTGATTGGCTCAAACTCATCAAGAAGGAAAGAAAATCCTCAAATTAACTTTTAACAAGGCACACCTGTTAATTGAAATGCATTCCAGGTGACTACCTCATGAAGCTGGTTGAGAGAATGCCAAGCGTGTGCAAAGCTGTCATCAAGGCAAAGGGTGGCTATTAGAAGAATCTCAAATATTAAATATATTTTGATTTTTTTAACACTTGTTTGGTTACTACATGATTCCATGTGTCATTTCATAGTTTTGAAGTATTCACTATTATTCTACAATGTAGAAAATAGTCACACAAAAAAAAAAAAATTGAATGAGTAGGTGTTCTAAAACTTTTGACCGGTAGTGTACATTAGCAAAAAGTTATAAAAACCTGTTTTTGCTTTGTCATTGTGGGGTATTGTGTGTAGATTGATGAGGAAAATGTTTTATTTAATCATTTTTAGAATAAGGCTGTAACTTAACAAAATGTGGAAAAAGGTAAGGGGTCTGAATACTTTCCAAATGCACTGTAAGTGACAACCCATCTACAAAATGCACCACTGCCAACGCCCCTGACAAAAACATTCCCCATAACCAGTAGCCTAAATCTCAAACTGTAAGATACATAATTTAGGCCTAATACTTTATCTATCTTCACAAAGTATCTGCAGCCAGTCATCACGATTTAGATTCTTAATTTAGACACACTAGCCCTCCCATACCAGCCTGTGCTCCACTTTAACATTCTATGATTAGTTCTCTATTCTCTTATCTTTGCAGCGTTTCTTGGTTGAACTAGCTCATCTCTGTCTACTGCCCAGAGGCACTGTCACAATCAATACACATATCAATACATCCACAAAATGGAAAGCTGAATAGCCTTCGCACTGGATCACAGACTCCCTTGCCTAAAACACAGCAATGATATGTATTTTTTTTTGTTGCAAAACATGCACTTCAAATAGACTGTAGCTAACAGCCTATGGTGTCCTTATGTACTTAACAGTGTACATTACACGCCTGTTATGCTGACTTTCACTACATGACGCGATACACACACAGTTAACAAGATGTAGAGCTAAACTAGCCACCGCCTATCATTTCAAACTAGACCGTTTTCTTATGTTTCTGAACATTAATGTAATAAACATTTTGGTCGTATAACATGTCCTCCTTCCCATGGCCCCCGTTGGTCAAGAAGGAAATGGGGGTTCTCTAGCCAAATCGAGTTAATGTAAGTTAAACTAGCTTCCTTCTCCCTACACTAGCAATCGTCTTGTTAGCGCCTGGACTCCAGGCTGGTGCGGGGGACTCTGACATCAAACCACGGCACCAACCCCATTTCGCTCGAGATTCGTGCCGTGTAGCGTTACATACACAACTAGTTAGCTAGCTATATTTAGTAGCTTAAACATTGTTTACCGAGTGATGTTATGGAAGCTACTAGCCATGTAGCTAGCTAGCTAGCTAGCAAGCTAAATGTGTATCATAGTTAGCTGGAGCAAGCGTATTATATTTAAAAGCAAGCACTCCATAGTCGCGCCTCAGTCATTGGCCAAAACAGACTGTCGCAATAAGCTTCATAGTGTGGGAAAAAATGCGTTTGTATAGTTACCTAAAATAGTAGTCGTGCTATGCAGCTTTCTCTGCCGAAATTAACAGTGCGATGAATCGAGGTATTCATTCTCCTCCATCCCTTCTCACCTGCTCCCAATTTCTGGGGAAATAACACATTAGCAAGCTAGCTAACGTTGGCACAAAGTACCAAATACGGAACCACTGCCTAGCTTTGTCTCCCACAATGCATTACTCCGGAGGGGCTCTCAAGACATAAAAAATGAATTGATATATTAGGCTAGTGTGCTACAATGTTGCATTAAACTGAACCATTGAATTGTAGATAAACTTATAAACAATGTAACAATATGGAGATCTTACATGTAGTCGGTATAATATTTCTTTAGAATTAGTAGTTTGTTTGAACAATAGATAAACAAAGGCTTCTTCTGATCTTTTTTATTTTTTTGAAATTATATAGGCCACTATGATAATAATCTAAACCAGTTAGATATTATTGTCGGTATATTAAATTATTCTTGATTATATTCTATACAAAAGACAGGCAAAACGAATATCACTACTAGTCTAACTTTAGGCCATTATTGTTCGATATTCAAGAAATCATGAAAAATAAATGATGGTCCTACTGGCATTACTTTACATTTCAAAGTGGGAAAGTATCCAAAGGATTTTTACTGGAACACTTCTGTGTTGGTAGTTGTTGTACACAGTATGTTCTGTTGGATTTGTTTTTCTTATTAAATACTAATTGCACTATGAAACAAATAAAATATGGTATATGTTGTTAAGTACTTGCTATTGATTGACATACTATTGGTATAATTATCTTTCTTACCGTTTTTTTCAATCACTTTGGTGCAATTTTCACAAGTAAGTGGTACATTTTCACAACTCTAAGCACTAAAATCAAAACAGATCATCAAAATGGCTCATGTTTCAAAACTAAGCACATTTTCAATACACTAAGTCAATTGTTGATAACACCAAATCACTCAATTTGGATACATATTCAATCTTAGTATCTGCTTTTCAAAATGCAATATTCACTTTAATAATAATATGCCATT